ACACAATCACATCAGTCTCGTATCAATATTTACACAATACCATAGGTATAGTTTGAATATTAAATATAATAGTGCACAGAATGCTTAACCCATTTGTTAAAGCAACAGCATGAAATAGTGTAAAGAATACTGACAGGCTTGGAGTCCGCAGAAATTTGGATTCAAATGCTACCTGATGCTGGCTTGTGTGACCATGGACAAATTACCACCTTTCCGAGTTTAATTTCCTCATATAAAACAAAAATAATGCTCCCAGTGGTACCTTCCTCATAGTGTTGTGAGATTCAAATGAGACCATGTGTATGCCAACCTTTAAGTGTTACATAAATGTCAAGCACAACAATCAATTTAACTGCAAAAGTAAAAAATCTCTAATATGAAGGAAAAGTCTTTAAATCCCTTCACCCTTGCTATTATCAATGAACAAACAATTATCAAATGCCTACTCTACAAAAATGAGGCAGGTCCTGATCTCAAGGAGCTTACTTTCTAACAGGGAGCACATAATGTACATGTACTGCATGAGATGGAGAAGATTCCTTTTGTGTTCAACAGTTCAAATTTGTCAGATTGTCTCACCAGAAAAATACACACACCTGTATGTATATAAAGTGCTTTCAACCTTCAGACCTCTCAACTCAATGATTCCTGTTAGGATTTTGTGCTGAAGTTACAGAAAAAAGAAGAAAAAAACCACCTACCTAAATGAAAATATCTATAGCCAGTCAATGTGTAATGGCAAAAAATGTTAACAACATATATCCAACTATGGTATAGTATCGTTATGGAGAACTACAGTGCTATTATAAAATAACTAAAACGTAGAAGATCTGGAAAGACCTAGATAAAGTCTCAGAAAGTGCAATCAGGAGAACCAGAACTAGATAGAGGTCTATAAAAAAGCCGACCTGGAACAAAATGCAGAATAAAACCTTTTTTGCTTGTCAATTCACTGGCCTTACCCTGTGATTATGCAAAACTGTATTCATTTTTTGTTTGTTTTTGTTGGTGACTAAAGCAATAGAAAAAAATATTAATACTTCAAAGGACTGTAATTTTGTCACTGTGGGTACTTCCTTTACCAAAATAGACCAGAACCATTCTATGCCTTAGGAGATGGTCTTTGAAAGTCACTGTGGTCAAAAAAATTCCATAATCCTGTAGGCAATCTGGTGAAGAGTCTGTCTGCCTTCAACCAGACTGATACTGGGAAGACAGAGAGACTGCCATCACATCCACACTAGCAGCCACTGCAGATCTGTAGGTCCAGTCCCAGCCCACACTCCACGGCCACTGCCTTCACAAACCCAGCTAACTCTAGGACCTGAGGGAGTGTGTATCAGAGGAGGCTCTGAGTTCAAGACATGAACATTACCCTACTACAGCATGATTCACTATTACAGATTCCGACATACCCCCAAAGCCAATCATTTCCCTCAAAATATAGTCATATGGTAAAAAGCCTTGTTTGGAAAAAAAAAAAAAAAAAACCATGTGACAGCTAGACGGCACAGGACAGAGTACCGGCCAGAGAGTCAGGAGGACCTGGGTTCAAATCCGGCCTCAGACACTTAACACTTATTAGTTGTGTGGGCAAGTCACTTAACCCCACTGCCTAGGCAAAAACAAAAACAACAACAACAAAAAAAACATGGTTATAAAAGCATATCTTACTTTCCAATACTTACTTTCCAACCTACAAAGGGATCCCACTGTGAATCTGCAAATGTAGTTGATCATCTTCCCCATATATCTATTTAGCTAGGCCTAGATTGTATCTCCTGGTATTCACTGTTTATTTAGACAGAATGATCTTGGGAGAAGGTGGCACAGTGGACCTGTCAATTGTGGAACTTGGGAGTCAGGAAGACCTACTATTCTAATCACATATTCTTGTAATATATTCAGATAGAAGCAGCCTGACCCAGGGGCCAGAGTCCCAGGCCTGAGGTAAGGAAGGCCTGAGTTCACACAAGGCTGCTGACACTAGCCTAATAATTGTCCAGAGGCGGTGATCTACCTTGGCCCACACTGGATACAGGGAGCAGAAGAATGTAAAAACCAGTCAAAGGAGCCGGCCAGCTTTAACGAACCTACATCAAATTGAATGCAACATAAAAATAAATTAATGTGAGATGTAAAAAGAAATCACATATCCCTAAAGCTATAAGTTTACCGAATTTTTATCATACAAATTTATAAGGGAGAGTAAAGCATGATGTATCTATTCTGTACTGATCAATAAGTTGATGATCTGAGACATCAAATGATTTGCCTGAGATCAGAGCTGAAAACACAGGACACTATGATTCTGTGAAGTGACAGGGTTAGCAGTTAAGCCAAGTCTTCTGGTTCCAAATTCAGTGTTCTTTCCACCTTACAAGTAAAAGGATGACACCAGGTCTTAAAAGCCAGGTCTTCTGAAAAGCAAGTCCAGGGTTCTTTCCACTACCAATGAGTAATAATGATAAAGTATTAGTTAGGTCACACTTTCATACTTTCTACAAGGAAGCCAGTGAACCCAATAACAACTCCCTATATATTAGCTTCTGAAATAACAAGAGAAAAACAAGTTGACTTTTACATATCGCCTTTCCTCATCTAATCCTCACAAAGCCCTGGGAGGAAGGTATTGCGGCCTTATTCTCATGAGAGTACAGCTAGTATTATAACTTCATTTTAACAAACTATAAGGAGCATATTATATATAAGTTCCTATATTAAGTTACTAAGCACTGCATTTAAATTTTTTCTAATTATCAAGTGATTCTAACTTACTAAATATATAGTTAAGATCTGCATATTTAGTAATATTTACTGTTAATCATTTTTGTTAGATTTTCATATTCTAATAATGGAAAGTTGCTATCTCCTTCTATTATTATATTTGTGCCTATTTTTCTTTTGTTATGGTTAATGCTTCTTTTATGAATTTAATTGTCAAACTTTAGTGTTTATAAAATGAGAGATACTACATATATGCTATTCATTTTTCCTTTTATCATTAAATCATGCCCTTGTCTGTCAAAAAAAAGCTACTGAGCACTGAAAGATAAAAAGCGACAAAAAAATGACAGACTGCTGCATTTCTGGAGCTTACAATCTAGTGGGGGGATACATTTTTATAAATGATGCCAAATAAAATACAATAGGAGGAAAAGTAAGAACCAGATAAAGCATTCTAAGAAACTTATGAGGAAGCAGCTTTGTTATATATTGTTTGTTCTTACTACCCTCTTTAGGCAACTAGGTGTCAGAAAGGATAGGGAGCTGGGTCTGGAGTTAGGAAGACTCATGTTATCTCAGACACTTCCTAAACGTGATGCTGGGCAAGTCACTTAACCTTGTTTGCCTCAGTTTCCTCATCTGCGAAATGAACTGGAAAAGGATATGGCAAACCACTCCAGTATCTTTGCCAAGAAAACCTTAAATGGGGTCACAATGAGTTGCACATTCTGAACAACAAACCCTCTTTATTAATATCACTAGCTTTTTTTACGTATCTAAAAACCAGTGAATGAGGGGAAATGATACTACTCATGAAGTTCAGAGAACTAACATTAAGAATGTACATTGTGAGACTTGTCTTTTACAAAATGGAAAGAGTCCAGGGTTTGGAGGAAACCTGGGCTCTGCCACTTACTCGATGACCTTGGGAAATCACTTAACCTCTCAAGATCTAGGTTTCCTCTCCTGTAATATGAGGGGGTTGGGATGGATGAACTCTAAGGTCCCTTCTTACTCTAAATCTAGGCTCCTAGTTCTTTTGAGACAGCACCAAGAAAAACTTCACAATCCCCTCATTTCAAAAAACCTCCGGAGGCATCCAATACAGGTGTCAATAAATAAAAGACAGCTTAAAATCTGAATAGCAACCACCCTCTGACTTCAATAAAGAAGCAAAAGGAAAAAACATGAAAATGCCTCCAACTGAGGATGTGAGTGAGGGGAAAAGAATCCAGAGAAGTCTGAGACAAAACAAAAGTTCAGGTGGAGAGATGGGCGAGGCAAGAGGAAAGACTGGGGAAAGGGAATCAAAAGGACAGCATGGTCAAGATGCAGCACAAGTGCCAAAGAGAACAGGGCAACTGGCACCGTGTGTGGCACAGCAGGAAGCAGTGGGCTGCAGAGGAATGGGGGCAGAGGACAAGTTGTGGTTAATGGTTAGAAGGTGATCTGGGAAGGTGCTGCCAACCATCCATCCCAGCAGTCATGACAGCCCCAAGAAATGGGATGAAAGGGGGAGGACAAAGTGTTCTCAAGAGGAAACAGGCAAGGGGGTGCCCCCTCCACAATGAAGTGGAGCTTTCCCAAAGGGAAGCAGCAGAAAGTGGAGAGGAAGACTAGCTGAACAGACTATTCAGGGGGTATGGTCAGCCTCTCATTCTGTGAGGTCAAATGTGAGCAGAGCAGAGAGGAGGAAAGAGCAAAATAGAGAGAGGAGGAATGAACAGAAAGGGAAGACAGAGGCACGTTAGACCGGGAGAGCAGAGGGGAAGGAGGGACAGAGTGGGAGGACGGAGGGGAGGGAAGAGATGGGGGGACCCTGGAACAGAAGGGAAAGAGAGGGAAGAGGGCAGGGAGGGAGGGGCACAGCGATGGAGGGAGGACGGAGGGGAGGGAAGAGATGGGGGGACCCTGAGACAGAAGGGAAAGAGAGGGGAGAGCGTAGGGAGGGAGGGGCACAGCGACGGAGGGGGGAGGGCAGAGACGGGGGGAGGGCAGGGGATAGAGGGGAAGTGTGCGGAAAGGTCGGAGGCCCAGAGGGAGGGGCCCGGGGAGAACGGCGAGAGGCGCGGCACGCAGGGCAGGGTGCTAGAGCGTAACGGGGAAGGAGGAAGGGTATGGTTTTCCCAGGCAGGGCAGGCGCACGGGGACAAAGGTCACGCCATGCCTGGCCCGCATCCCGAGGGCCGCCCGTGGCCACAGGCCGCCTCAGGTTGCTCTCCTCAGGTGACCCCGGCGGGAGGGCAGGCTCAGGCGGCCTGCCGGGCGCTTACCCCTCGGGATGACGGCAGCAGCGGCGGCGGGGACGGCGTGAGGCCGGGCGAGGCGGACGGCCGCGCGTCCGCAGCAGCTCCTCAGTAAGATGGACGCCATGTGCCCGGCACTGCCTCGCTCCGCTCGGTCGCGGGCTCCCTGGCTCCTCCCGGCTCTTCCGCGGCGGCCCGGCCCGGCCCAGCCCGGCCTCGCAGGCTCGCGGCCCGCACGACGTACGCACCACGCACGCACGTCGGCGGCGGCGGCGGAACGTTAGCCGTTGGCTCGGAGCGGTTGGCGGCGGCAGCTCAGCTCCAGACCCCGGCGCCGGCGGTCGCCATGTCCCGGCAGCGACCGACGTAGGGCGCGGGGCGGGGTGGGGCGAGGACTCACCAGCACCCCCGCCCCTTCACCCCGCCCGGCTGCTCCCATTGGGCCCGGCCAGTCTTGCTATGGAGCCCCGGCCTCCGCCTTCCCCTCCCGGCCTCGTGCCAGGTGAGGCGGGAAGCTGAAGTTCGGCTGGCCGGAGAAGACTACAAGTCCCGGCAGGCCATGGGCCAAGCCCCAAGGCCTGCTGGAGGGAAGGCTCAATCTGGGCGATCGCAATGAACTCTGGGGCTTGTAGTTTACCTAGGGCGCTGAGACAAGTAGGGTCAGGGTTTCAAGCAAAATGGGGTTCCCTGAAGGCGTTATAGCTAAGGTGCCTTATTCAGGTAGACCCTATCCTAGAATGATTTAAGTAGTGCAATGCAGGTTTGTTTTTTGTTTTATTTTGTTTTTGACAGGAGCATTTTGTTTCATTGACATGGGAAACTTCCTGCACTCATGCAAATCCGTGCCTCCGGGGCTTGTTATGGTCTCCAGCAGACTTGCCTGAGGGCACTCACTCAGCTGGAGGGGATGTAACCCAAATCTTCCTGACCTCTTACTGCAAGCCCAGCCTTCTAGCAGCGGGCCAGGTTTCAGGTAAGGAAACTGATCACGGAGCGCACCCTCTTCTAGAACTGTGGGACCTTCCAGAAAAGCTGTGCTCCACCAAAAGCCACAATGCTCTTGAGCTCCCTCTTTTAAAAATCAGGGGTAATAGACATTTAGTTCAAAGTCAAATAGGATCAGAGATTTAAAACTTAGAAGTGATCTTAAAGGTCATCTAGTTCAGTGTCCCCATTTTTCAGGTTTAGGTTTATAGAGAATAGGTAATGCCTAAGGTCACACAAATAACAGAATTAGAAAAGAAGCAATAGAATTTGATCTAATAAGTAATCCTGGGACAAATAGCCTCAGTTTTCTTACCTACAAAATGGAGATAATAGCACCCAACCAGGTGCCTCCTCTGTGTGGATCATCTCCAATTTCTACTATTTCTGTCTTGTTTATACATATACATACCAGGGCACCAGGGCCTGAAGCCTAATTAATCTGTGCTTGTGGACTGAATTCGTGTGAGAGTCAAACAATTGCAAACCCTAAACAGCTATGTAGAAGTTAGCGGTGGGAGAGGGTGGATGTGACTGTACTACCTGGCTGGAGAGGCCACTGCCAAGCCTCTAATGTCTGATTAGATGATGCTGTTTCCCTTCTTCTCAAGTGTCTGGCAGCCTCTTCCAGTCAGTGTGGAGCACAGTGCTGGCACATAATAGGCTCTTCATAAGTGTTTTGTTTTGACTGACTGGTTGTAGAGCTGTGGCTTTTCCACCTTGTCTTCACGTGTAGCACTCTTCTCATAAGAGGAGTGGCCATCTCCCTTCTATCCAGAGCCTATAAGCTCTGGAACTTTTTTGGTAAGGAAGGCAGGCCCTTCCATATCCATATCGCTGTAGCAAAAATAGTCAGCTAGTTCCCTGAGTCTTAGCTGGGTGTGACATTTTTCTCTTGGAAGAAATTCTTTGCTCTGGGGACCAAGGTCAGGAAACTAAGTACAGCCTGCCAGATAAGTAGAGCCCGAAGGTATTTAATTGGTTTTTGATCCTCTCTCTGCAGCTAGACTGGGAATGATGACTCAGTTCCAAGTCCATAGCCGTGCATAGTTCATGGACTAGGTGTGGCCTGGTGTTCTATACCCCTCCCTGATTTAGGGTTAAAAATTCCTTGTAATTCTCACATAACTCCCAAAGTAGATCCCTTGTCATCACACCAATAGTAGGTGGTATGCTTAGTTCTTTACCTCTCTGCACCGCCTCCCCCCACCAAAAAAAAAAACCGACAACCTTCTGTGTGGTTCTGAGGCATTTCGGTTTTCTCTCAGTCCAAGATCCTTTGGGTCTGTCTCTCTCTTGCAAATAGAATTGAAGAGGGAACACCTACTATATTTCAGGCATAGTGCTGAAACTTGGCAAAAGTCAAGGATAGCAATGAAAAGCCAGGTAAAATCACTGCTACACATCAACTATATGTCAGTCCTCTCTTCCCAATTCTTGGATTCACTTTGCACTTAGGGCCAGGAGCAAGCCTCCCAGGCTTTAAACTGCCTTACACAGAGCATCTACAATTTGCATTCCCTCTCAGTTCTAATAAACTGTGGATTTTGCATAACAATGCATTAAGATTTATGATAACCACTATGAAATAAATACACAGAAAATTGTAAAACATGGTTTCTACTATAAAATAGTTGTTGGGTTTTTTTTTTCCTAGTTGAGGGAATGTCATTAAAAGGAGGAAATATAACTTAATAAACACCTGATAGTTTAGAGTAGGCAGCTAGGTGGCTCAGTGGATAGTGCACCCTGCCTGGAGTCAGGAAGACCTGAGTTCAGATCTGTCCCCAGGCACTTCCAGCTAGGAAGATGGCAAACCACTCCACTATCTTTGCTAAGAAAACCCCCTCTGAGGTCACCAAGAGGCAGACACAGCTGAAACAACTCAACAACAAAAGTCTAGGCTAAATGCCAAATGGGGAGACAGATGATATGGAATTATACAGCGGCCCACATCAAAAAAAAAGAGCTAAAGTTTTAACAGACTCTGAGCTCAATTTGAGTTGAAATTGAGCCAAATAGCCAAGTCAACTTTAGGCTTTTGACAAGCCTACAATGAGGAAAACAATAGACAATTCTACTGTCCTTTGCCCTGATCAAAACACATCTGAGTTTTAGGTTCACTTCTGGGTTCCATGTTTCAGGAAGAACACGTAAGCCAGAGCACATTCATAAGGAAGAGACAAAGATGAGGACAGAAAAAGCCAGAAAAGGATGACTGAGAGAATTAGAATTGGTCAGCCTGGTAAAAGAAAAGACTTGAAGACAGAATCACTGTCCAAATTTTTAAAGTGCCATCAAAGTGAAGGAAGAATTCAATTTGCCCTATTTAGTGCTGAACTAGGAGCAGTGTAGAGGCTGATTACAATTCGATAGAAGGAAAAATGTCCAACAATGAGAGCTGTCCAACTATGGAGTGGGTTGCTTCAGGAGGTGTTGAGTTACCTGTCCTTTGAGAGATTTAAGCAGAGAATGCTATCAGAGACCCAAGCTTTTTTTTCCCTATCCAATCTTCAAGGACTGGTCTGATGGACAACAGGATTAACACTCTCATTTTGGGTATTACTACTCTACCCAACTAAATCAGATTTCTAACCTAAGGTGAAATTCCCTTCTGCTCAGGTTTGGGTGGGGGATAAATTCTTTTAATGGATTTGCTGAAGGCTAGCGGTAACTCAGTAGTAAATAACCTAGTGAAAGGTCATTAGAACAGGCTCCTACCCTCCTAGTAATATTCATTCTCTCATTAATTGTTAAGCAATCAGTTGGTTGCCACTCTCAGAAACACCCCTCTTTCAAGGGCATATAAGCAATGAGCCTGCAACCATGATTGTCTGGCATTGGAGCATGCCACAGACCTCCTTTTATTAAAATGCTAGCATTATTAATTAAATGACTAATTACCCAGAAATTATGTCTCTCAAACTTTTTAAATGCCACATTCTTCTACTGAAGCACATGACCCAGAGTTTGGGTAAGATCAGATAGGTCACATAGGCAGGCTTACAAAGCAGTTCTGGATTAAGATAGCCAGAGTACTTAGATAGTAAAAGGTATATTTTTAACAAAAGAATAAGGGTGTCTAACTATTCCAAAGGTCTGTAGCCATTTATACTAGACCAAAGAAAACAGTATCAGTTAATTAATATTTGTTAAGTTTCGACTATGTGCTTTATTAGATAGAATAAAGAAAAGTGGGTAAGTTCCCGAAACTATTAAAAGTCCTGTGAGGTTTTTTTTGTCAGTTGTGATTAGGGAAAGGGAGGTACTGAAGGAGATACTGAGTACATTTATATAATAACAGCAAATACAGCACAAAATGGAATTAGTTATGTACTCCCAAAAGTCCACTTTCAACAATTCTATCTTTGGCCCTGCACTAAAAAATAAATTTTTTACATCCCTGGGCCATCTAAAGATTCACGGTACTGCAAGACAATTATTTGTACAGACCATAATAAACTTGACAAATTTAAGAACTGTCTGAACAAATCTTACCAGTCTGTATTGCATGAAATCATCTGCTTCTGGGAAATCTTTTCCCTTGGAAATTGTATGTCAAAGGGATTTGTTCTAAACCACTAGCCACAAATTGTCTGGCTTGGTCCACTCAAACTCAAGAGGCATATATCCCATCTCTGTGTCTTTAACTGGGTGACAATTGTCGTCAATACCTAGAACGGACTTTCCACCTTGTTTCTGCAGATTTTGCTAAGGTATTTATTCCAGGAGATTGACTTTCCAACTTCAAGCCACATGTGGAGTTTTCCTAGGTAACACTGCTTGACCTGTTATAAGAAGGCAGTATAATTTAGTAGGGTCTTACATCAGCCTTCAGTAAATAGCTCATGTGGTGAAAACCAATAGTAATCTTACGGAGTTAACCTTATGAACTTAAGTGTTATAGGAAGAACATCAAATTAAGCTACCTATAATATAACTAGAATTAAAAGTTTCAGTTTTCACATATGAGTTATACTTTCTGTCTTTGTTTGAATCCTATACTTTGCATGGATAATGCTATCTGTAAGCTAGAAGGGTCCTTAAAAAAAATTTTGTTTTGAGGACCTGACATTGTAAAATAAGCCCTTCTCTGTCTTGATGTTATCAGAGAGATTTCGAACAGAAAAAAAAAAAAATCAT